AATAGAATAGAATAGAAATAGAATAGAATAGAAATAGAATAGAATAAAATGGAATGATATGATCCAATGATAAAATGCGATTACACAATGCTCTTTTTTTCTTTCTTTTCGCGTACTTTGCTCTACTTTTTCTTATCCATTTCTATTGCTAAATGGCGTTCACAAACCTCTTTCCTAGGCCTCATTTAAACGCATAACATAAAAAAGGCGTATAGATAAGCCCAAACGCATTTAGTCACATGCCTTTCTTTGACTGCTCTATCTGCTCAATCTCTCGCTTTAACACTCTTTTAACTTATTCAATGTTGACACTCTTATTCTTTATGACTCTCCTAATCTTTCATTTGTTTCTCGTTTGTTTTAAATTGCAAGAATATTATAAATGTATCAGAAAGGTTGTGAGGTTTTTAGGCATTGAAATAAAAAATATTATTTTGAAAAATTCACACATTATATGTTGATGAAAATTATTAACTCTTGATGAAGCATTAGCTTTCATACTAATGCGTTTGGTTAAACGGTAGCAGAAATAAATGTTTGATATTAAAAAAAGCCTAAGAGGATTTTGTCCTAATCATAGTCTCTTTCGTTTCTTTCGCTTCATTGCACTTATTTTTTTCCCTTTATTTTTATTTCAGTTTATACCGTCACATTACATTGTTTCACTCGCATTACCATTCTCACTCTCCCTCTCTCTCTCTCTCTCTCTCTCTCTCTCTCTCTCTCTCTCTCTCTCTCTCTTTCTCTCTCTCCCTCCCTCATTGCACTTATGAATTCCATCAATAAACTATTTTTGGTTAGTTTGCATATTTTATGCCGTGAAAACGAACGCTTCAAGCTATTTAATTTTGGAATTCTTTTTTTTTTATGTTCAATTTTTATTTCCAATAGACTTATCTCCGATCCATTCATTGCTATTAGGTTTCTTTGCACATGAATTAATTGCTTGAGCTTGTTTATGGGGATTTTTATTTGGTATTACATTATGAAATGTAAGATTACTTGAACTATCTTACTTTATTTTTAACTTAAGAAAACATTTTCATTTTATTAATAATCTTTCATTGAAAATGTATCATTGAAAGCAGTGTAATTTAATTTTTTTATAATTTGAAATAATTAAATTGTAAAGTGCTTTTAAACATTGAAAAATCAGAAATTGGTGTCATTATCTATTTAAATACTCAATCCCCTAAAAAAGTGACTGAAAAATTTGTAAGCAAAAAAAAAATTTTTTCAATCGGAAGCATACCCTTACTTTTCGCTTATTTTTCACATTCAAAATTCTTACTTAATTTTAAGATATCAAATAGATAAATCCTTTGTTATGCATAAATCTCAACATAATCGCTTTTGTAATCAACTAATCATTACCGGGAATGTGTGACAATAAAAACATTTTTAAGTGACATGAATACGATATATAATCGAAATGACCTACTCAATTTGAATTCTTTTTAAATAAAATATATTTATTGAACGATTGTTCAAATCTCTCGTGTAAGTAGCGTGAGAGTAGAAAGATAGAAGGATGCTGAAAATGGATCGAAGGGATAATGAGCATAATCATCTATAGATTCTTTTATCAAAAAATGGATGAGATTTTTTGCGTCTATTAAATGTAGAAAAATTTTAGTTAAATTTTAGTTATTTGATTTTTTTGCATTTCAAAAAAAAATTGCGAAAGAAAATTTTCGTTGATTTCTAGTATGATTAATGAGAGCAATAAAAAAAGATTGCCAAAATTAAAAAGATAAAATAAGCTAATTAAATCAATGAAAATTTTCAATACATTTTCCATTCAAACTTATATCCGGCTATTCATCAATACTTTTATTTTGATTTAGTTCAGCTGGTTGCTAAGAACTTTTTCTATTTTTCACATACTCTGTAATGATGTTATTCATTATAACAACCTTAAATAGACTAAGCAAAGCTAATTATCGATCTTAATTAACCAAACTTCCTCACATAGCTGGAATGTAAATACCTTTTTATCAGCACAATTACGTCATACTATTTAGCTATTAGGAAACTATTAGGAAACTTGAAGTTTTATGCATTTCCTTAAATTAAAATTGGATAGAGTGGAATTTTGTTTATCCATTTTACATTTCTTTCAATGCATCAGTTCAATTAAAATTCTCATGATAAATTATTGAAAGTAATTAACATCAACCTTTTATAGGCCTGGCTAAAACATTTTATTCGATGAGCTTCTTAGATAGGCTTCTATTTTTTTATTATTTTCAATTTATTTGTTTTGGTTTTAAATCAACATAAAGTGATGAACAGGAAATAGAGTGGAGGGAAGAGAGAGAAGCAAAAATAAAAAGCTTAACTCGTACTTTTCTGATAAATTTTTTTAATTCCTACTAAGCATAGCATGAAAAATGTAATTGATATCATTGGAAATTGATAGAGGCATATCGCTGTCATTTGCATTTTTAATCAAATTCATCAATTATTTATTTTGGATTCCTGTTTCTTTTGGAAATTCTCCATCTGTGCAAATTTTGAATAAATTCATCAGATTTACGCAATGGTCAGTTTTAAATGTTAATATCAATGAATGTAATAAATGAAACATTTAATCTTTTTAGGTTCTGCTTGAATACCTATAGTTTAAATTATTATTTTAATATGAAGGAAGAAGGAAAAATTGTTTTGTAATTAAAATCAAAGAGGATTAATTAAGATATTTAGGCAACTGATCTCTTTAACTTTTTTATTTTGCACTGTATAACCTTTCATAGGCGTAGAAAATTGGAAACAGAAATTTGATATTAAACTTTCGAAAGTTTTCTACTAATAGTTTCAAGTATTTTAGCAAAAAATAGGAGTTGTAAATCCGTCTTTGACTATAGCCTATTTTTTTGGCTGTGAAATATTTTTGTGATCAAAATGATAATATCAATCATGAATTGATAAGATCTGACGATATATATTCTTTTAGTAATTTAGCATAACTTTTGTTTATTTCTATCCATCTTGTGTAATTAATTTAGATGATTTGTAATATTTTAAATAATAATGAAACAAAAAAAAGAGAAGGCTCAGCATGCATACAAAGCCTGCAAACTCCCTTCATTTAATTACGCTCCAAGGCTTCTTGGCTTATTTATCGATTCCAACTGCTGCAATGGTCTCATATCTGACAGCGCTTTCTTGTCTTACTTTCATATTATTTAATTCTGTTTTTTTCTCTTTCTTTTTTTGCGGAAATTAAATTAATGTAACGAAATGTATATTGGAGATTATTTCATCTTTTAGCATTGCTCATTATCGAGAATGATTTCGTGTATTTCTATCAGTAATTTTGTCAACATTTTAATTTTATAGATATGAGAAGATGGCATAAATGGCAACAGTGTAGCATATACGGTATTCTGTTGTTTTTAATTTGCACATCTAGCAATGCGGTTGAAATATATACAAATCATTTCTATGTTCATATCAAACATCCGGGTATCGAAAATGCCCATACAATAGCTAAACGACATGGGTTTATTAATCGTGGTCCCGTAAGTCTTCTATTCAACTTTATCGTATTATCATATTTGAACATTTTGAAACCAATAAATGTCTCATAATTCTGCAAAATGTATATAATAATAATTCTGCCAAATGTACATAACAATTATTATGTAAAATGCACGTAACAACAATTATATAAAATGAACGTAACAATAATGCAAAAAAATACACGTAACAACGATTATGTAAAATGCACGTAATAATAATTCTGTAAAATACAGGTAATAATAATTCTGCCAAATACAATTAACAATAATTCCATAAAATATATGTGTCAACTGAAATGCCTCCATATGGATGGCATAACTTCAAGCTTTAAGCATTTGACTAATTTTGTTTTGAAGTACTGCTATTTTTTTTACATATTGTCATAGTAACAATGTTGAGTTGTTGCAGTAGAAATTACATAATGTTACGCTGGTTTACGTGATGTTACGCTAGTACTGCTAGGCTACTTTTTTTTTTCTAAAAATTTTCTACCGACATTATGTGCATGCAAACTTTATCATTGGTGTTTCTGAAGTCGATGTTACGAATGATTCAGTTATTTGAGATTATTTTGATCATATTATTTTAGTTTGATTAGAAAAATTATTCGTTTATTTATTCATTTTCTTAAGTTAATTATTGTGCACTTGTTTCATTTGTGTAAGCAATATTGAAATTCGAAAAATTTCTATCGAATTATGAATAGCTATTACTTTTTTTCAAAGGTTCATGACTTTATAACTTCGACTGATTTATGGATAGTTATTATTTTCTTTTTTAAGGTTCTTGGCTCCACAACTGATTGGCATTTTATCCAACCAGCCCTATCACATGCACGAACAAAACGTTCCCTTGCTCATTATAAGAAATTAAATGATGATCGTGATGTGAGTTTTATGAAGAAATTTCAAAAAGAAAAACTTCTCAAAATTCTTAACTTATTCTTGTTTTTCTAATTTCTAACCAAATAATAATTAAAGAAGAAAAATACTATTGCTCTTAAATAAAAAAACTTCGTATAAAATTAATTGTATCTATGGAGAAATCATTCGCAGCATGCACAATGAAATGTTCTTACCTGTCCTGGAAATAAAAATATTCACCTTCAGGTTCTGCATGTGGAACAATTAACAGGTTTCAAACGTGTGAAGCGAGGGTATAGGTAAGTATTTGTGGTAAATTTAAATTATAAATGCTGCAAAATTATTCTATTAGTTCAATTCTCTCTATTAAAAATTACTAATTGTTTTAAAAATTTTAACTCTCAATTAAAAGTGCTAATGCAAGGTTGTCTTCTTGTATGTTGATCTATTTGTGACAGTATTGAATCTTTGGATTTCTTAATGACAAATGTTGTATCGATCATTGATTACAACTCTAAGTAGAAAATTTTTTAGGGCATTGGAGGAACGATTACAAGAACAACTTGACTTTACTGCAGCGCAATCACCAACTGATCCGCTCTATCCATATCAATGGTATTTGGTAAGGATACATTGATTTATTCTTCAATTTTTTAATTTCTTAAAAATAATTAAAAGTTTCATTTATTTCAAATGTTAAATGTTTATCCAAAGTGCTACACTTTACAGGTTATACTAAATTAATAATCAAAATAGAAAACTTCAAATTGAAATTTCTGAAGTTGAAATTTGACAGTTAGAAATAATATTTAGATTAAAATCATTTATATATTTGAAATGTTTTTTTTTTCCTTTTTTAAGAATAATATTGGACAAGCAAATGGTAAACCACGACTTGATTTAAATGTCGAAAAAGCATGGGTACTTGGTATTACCGGTAAAAATATAACAACAGCTATCATGGATGATGGTGTCGATTATATGCATCCCGATTTAGCCAACAACTTTGTCAGTTCTTCATTATTCACCTGAATTTTGCATACCACAAGAAATAGCGGAATTTAATGCAATGCTTTTTGTCCATAATTGGCGACAGTCTTCGGACAGCACTTTTGCAATTTCTCATTGCAATATTTATTTTGATCCATTTATTGGTTAAACTTTTTGGAAGAAATTTATGATATTTAGACATAACGAAATTTTTTTGTCGAAAATTCCTTTATGTTTTATGTTAGCAAAAAGGAGAAGAACGATTCTGTTTTATTATTACTGAAATTAAATCATTTTTCCGTCTTTTTTAGTGTATTTATTTAAATACTTAATTTAAGATTTTCATAATTAATTTTTAATTCAACGCATCTCCATGTTCATTTCAGCTTATTTTTTCTTCTTAATTTGAAATATTAAAATCCTTGAATAGATAATTTTAATTGCTTTTTTTTCAGAATGCAAGAGCCAGTTATGATTTCAGTTCCAATGATCCATTCCCGTATCCGAGATACACGGATGACTGGTTCAATTCACACGGAACACGGTTTGTTAATTTAAAGTTTCTCTTTTCTTGTTTTTCCTAATATTTTCTTCTCTTATCCGTTATCAATTCAGTAACTAACAACTTAAAGGTTGTACGCTTAATATTTGAGCATGTTATCAATAACGTTATTTAAACAGCACTTATTGAAGCGAGAAAAAACAAGGGAAAATACAAATCATTTTTTTTTTAATTTTGTTAAAAAAATCCAAAATGCGGTTTTTATTTGAGAATGTATTGCTTTAATAAGAATTAAATTTTAAGAATTCTAAATTATAGATGTGCTGGTGAAATAGCGGCAGCACGTGATAATGGTATTTGCGGCGTTGGTGTTGCTTATGATAGTAAAGTCGCGGGTATTCGAATGCTCGATCAACCTTACATGACAGATCTCATAGAAGTATCACAAAAGTTTTTATTTTATAATTTGAATGGAAATTTTCTGCTATGTATTGAAACGGTAAATGTTCGTTTTCTCGAAGCTTTTACACTGTAATCAATACTGAGATAATTAAAAAGAAATGGTGCGCTGAAGGAGCAACGGTGGCAAAAAATTTGAAACTTTCTTTTTTTTGCAAATAAATTTTTCAAAAAATTAGCATTTCCTGTATGATGCACACAAATTCAGGCTAATTCAATGAGCCATGAGCCAAATCTAATTCACATTTATTCGGCAAGTTGGGGACCAACTGATGATGGAAAAACAGTCGATGGACCACGTAATGCAACAATGCGTGCAATCGTTAAAGGCGTTAATGAGGTTAATTGCACTTATGCGCAATTTCTTCAAAAGAATTCTTTAGTAAAAATTTTTGAAATTCTGAAATTTAAGATAAACAATTTTTTTAGCAAAAAAAAAAACACCACATTAATTGTTTCTTTTTTCAGGGACGTAACGGTTTAGGATCAATTTTTGTATGGGCAAGTGGTGATGGCGGTGAGGAAGATGATTGTAATTGTGATGGTTATGCCGCGTCAATGTGGACAATATCTATCAATTCCGCAATTAATAGCGGCGAAAATGCGCATTATGACGAGTATTTAAATTTATTCAATTATTTGATGACGAAAGATTCTTTTAAATCGTACTTTTCTTAGTATTTTAACATAAGCAATGCTTAATTTGATCATCGATTCGTTGATATTGATTGATCAAAAATGTTAAAAGATTACTTTGTAGTTCGACACTATCGATTGATCAGAAATGTAAAAAAAAATTACTTTGTTGTTAGACAAGTTGGACCAAAAAAGTTAGATACGATTCGCAAACAGATGATAGCCTATATCGACATAATGAATTTCCGAAACGCTCTAAATACTGGACTCCATCGGTTAATTAGTTTGTAACAAATGATCATAGGTATTTTTGTGAAATGATTTTCAGAAGTTGCTCTTCAACATTGGCTTCAACATTTTCGAATGGTGGACGAAATCCGGAAACTGGAGTAGCCACAACGGATTTGTACAGTCGTTGTACGCGGTCGCATAGCGGAACATCCGCGGCAGCACCAGAAGCAGCTGGTGTTTTTGCCCTAGCATTAGAAGCAAATCCATTGCTTACATGGTATAAATATAATTTTATATAATTTTAATTCTGATACATTTTGCTTTCATTTTTCATCCATTAAAAAAAAAATGCATTTTTCTATTTTTCATATTTGCAAAAATAAAATTTAATGGAATTTTCAGTAATAATTTGATTGTATAAATTTCATATTTCTCTTTTCAAAATACATTCATTCCATTTGTGAAAATTTTTTGGAAGGTTTTTAGGCGTGATTTACAACATCTAACTGTGCTAACATCAACTCGAAATTCACTGTTTGATGGACGATGTAGAGATTTGCCAGATCTTGGCATTGAAGTAAAATCATGAAAATTTTGTATTTTATTTTCAAATAGATCAATTAAACAATATCAATTAATTAGTAAACTATACAGTCTTTGCAGAATACATCAAATGGAATATTATTTTGTTATTGCTAATTTAATTCATCTAATCAGAGCAGTGCACACCTTGACATTGAAGATATCACAGACGTACATCCATCGATACATACACAACAATAACTACAACAACAGTAACCACAAGAACAATAACCACAACAACAATCACAACAGCAACTGATAAAACCTTAGCAATTCTGATTATTATTGATTTCAGGACAGCAACGAAATTAATACAAATAGTGTCAATAATTGTACTCATTTTGAATGGAAGATGAATGGCGTTGGCCTGGAATTTAATCATTTGTTTGGTTTTGGTGTATTGGATGCAGCTGAAATGGTTATGTTAGCAATGGTTTGGAAAACAGCTCCTCCAAGATTTCATTGTGAAGCAGGGACAATTGCTACATCACAGTAAAGAATTTTATTTATTCATAATTTTTTAATTTAATTATTTGAGATTAATTATTGAACGCAAATATTTTTTGCTATACAATGTTAGATGAATTTTTAGAACTGCTGATAATTATTGAAATTTTATTTCATTTCAATTCAACTAATTTGTTATGCTTAAAAAAATTAGTTAAGTGATGAAATTAATTTTATAATGATAAGTAATTTCATTGAAAATATTTTAGCGAAATTCCATCAACTGGAAATCTTGTACTGGAATTGATTACTGATGCATGTATGGGAACATCGACAGAAGTGAATTATTTGGAACATGTACAAGCAGTTGTTACTTTAAATAGTAGCCGACGTGGTGATACCACTCTTTATCTCGTTTCTCCCTCCGGCACACAGTATATCTTTTTTCTTTTTCCTTAAAAATATTTGAGAAATTAAATTTATTGGAATAGAAAAATTAATTGTTAAATACAATACATTTTTGTACTGGTTTTTTTTTTGATGAGATTTAAAATGTTAAAATTTTGAACCAATCTTGTTGAAAATATTAGAAATAAATCGAAATTTTTAGCGACAAGATAATATTGAACAAGTATGGAAGTAGAATTTTCTGTCCATTTTTGTAATATTCAAACTTTTTTTTTCTAAAACAATTTTACAGGACAATGATTTTATCAAGACGTCCAAAAGATAATGATAGTAAGAATGGATTCACGAATTGGCCATTTATGACTACACATACTTGGGGTGAGAATCCACGTGGCAAATGGCGTTTGATTGCTCGATTTCAAGTAAATTTTAAAACCCTAAAATTTGAGCATTTTTATTTTGAAAATCTCTAAGGTTACCTTTGTTTTTTAGAAATCAGATCCTAGTTATCGGTACTTTTAATGATTGGTATCTTGGAAGTGCAATTAGCATTAAATATTTGAGTGAAATTTTTCATTTCAAGTAAATTTCCCAATTGATTTTATAGGGTGGCGATAAGAATCACGGTATGGTGAAGAAGTTCACCCTCATGCTTCATGGTACCAAAGATCCACCATATGCTGGTATTGAACCTCTTCAGGGTTATGTAAACAGTAAACTGAAAGTGGTACAAAAGGCACATAAACGTGCTGTATTTCGTCGTTAATGTTAAAATGATCAAGCTGACTTTGCATTTGTAAAGAAAATCCTTGAAAAATTGGCGGAATCTTTTAATAAAAAGTTTTGAAATAAAAGAAGTTGTGAAAAAAAGTATGTAAATGAATCCTCAATGATTGCGTAATGATCAATAAAAGAAGAGAAACGGGGTTGACAAACGACAAATATATGAAATTGAAGTTTTAAAGTAATACAGAAAGCAAAAAGCGTACCATCAAATTAAGTTTATAAATTAATATTATATTAGTAATTATGCTAATAATTGAGTCGTTCTAAATTTGCGCTTGTCAGTTTGTTCCCCTTTTGAATTGGATTATAATAAATCAGTTTGAAATAAACGAATAGCATTTACAAAAATTTTTCTTCTCTCCCGGTCAATTAATTAAAGCCTTTACTCTTCATTCTTACTCTAAATTTCAATTTTTATCAATTTTTAACGAATGAATCTGTGTATTTTCAACTATCTCTCAGAAATTTCATTGTTAGTTCCATTCAGTGTGTGCTTATTTTCATTTGCAATTTACATGTAAACGTAAAATCAGAATGGAACATAAATCTATGATGGAGCGAAATTTATAAATTTTATACAAAAATAAAACATTCCATTTCCCGCTTTATTCTATCTTTCTTTTCTTTACTCTCTTTCTGTCTTTATCTCTCTCGTAATGTAGTAAGGTGCTTTCAAGTATAATTACTAGTCTAAAGCAAATTTTAATTAATGGATATGATTTGAATGTCAACCTTTATCTTGAAAAACTTTATGACTAAAGTTTGAATTTAATTCGATATTCAATGTATACTTTCAACAGATATTTCAAATTATGATAATAATGAAATCAAACTCCTTGTAAAAGATATCCGGAAAAATTATAATGATAAATGTCTGAGAAGATAAGCAATCAAAAGATGAAATCAGTAAGTGAATGAAGAAGTTTGAAGCTGACTTGTCTCTAATATGGTATTTTTAAATCTGTGATAAAATGGAATTGCTGATCGATTTCGATTTACATTTCATTGCAATCTTATCATCCAATCAATATTATTGCTATGACGATGTCTTCTTATCGGTTGATACCATTTCTGATCAATTTAACCAATTGACTGATTACATATTGCTAAATTTTGCAGTCAGTTATGATCATTATGCTGTGGTTTACTGATACTTTTATGATAATGTCGTGGATTATTTAACGCATACCTGAAATATTCAATCTAATTGTTTCAATCCCGGTGATGAACTGATTAATTTGAATAAAAAGCTGTTATGGAAATCAAATTTGTAATCGTTTGACATTTTTCAATTATCAAAAAGAATAATGAAATAATGACAAAATTCTGATTACGGTTAAAATTATTCCCTAAATAAATTTAATCAGGTGATATGAATTTGCAAATTTTCAAAACTAATGTATTATTTTTCTGAAAATCAAATAATCATAGTAAAAAAAAATGGTCAAATAGCGGGTTTGTTTCGAGCAATCACATTTTGCAATTAATCACACCCAAATGTGTAATTCTCAACAAAATGTTTTGAAATTCAAACACTGAAACCTGAATGGATAAAAAAAATTTTTATAATTTTTTAGGAACAGCACCTTTTTTTGGCAATATCATTCTCAATAATATTTTGCTTTAAAATTTCAAGATTAATTTGTCAGAAAAGATTGTGAGTATTTTTTTTTCTTTATTATCTACCATTTATTTTTTATTGCTTTTTCTTTGCTGCGTTGTTATCAGTTAATAAAACGAAGACAGGTATTTATTAATGCTAATTTTACTAAAATTAAATAATATACAATTAAATTATAGCCGTACTGACCTTTGACATGTTACATTAAATCACTCAACATCTAGAAGAGACGTTTTTTCACCTAAATTAGAAAAATTGATGATTATCTGCTGATGTGATAGTAGATAACCACCAATTTTTTCAGATTACTGTATTGCTAAAGTTATGCGTTAAACAGTTTTTTTTTTGATTGCACAGTTGAGTAAATAAGTTAAATAAGAACAAATAAGTAAATAAGGGTAAATAAGTAAATACGAACCAGTGAAACAGCTGAGTAAATAAGTAGCTGAACAGTTAAATAAATAAATAAGTTAAACAAGTTTTTATTTTTTTTTGATTTACGAAAATACTGCAAATATAATTAACAGCATTTTCAAACTTCCTTTCTTCAATTATTGTTGCAAAAAAATTATTGATTAAAATGACTAATTTGTTATTATTGATTAAATAAATAAATAAATAATTTAGACAAATAATTCATTATTATTAATTATTCCTTCAAAAAAAATTCAGTTACTTTCCTTTATGCGGATTCCAAATGGTTTCTTTTTCTTTTTTATTTCATTCTTCCACAATTATTAATCAAAAAATGAAAGAAAAAAAATATGGGAAATATTCGTTGAAGAATTTTCTGAATGTCACACATATAATCGATTTAAATAAGAATTTTTTTTTTCTTTTTTTTGGTTTGGGAAAAAACAAATCAGACAAATGATTTCATAAATTAATGATATATTTCCATGGATAAAAAGGAAGTTATTATACGAATTTGCAGAATGTATTCTTTCTTAATGCTAAAATTTAATCCAATTCAAATATCATCCAAAATATACTTAAAGTAAAGTTAATAATTAAAAAAAATTTCTTTCTGCCTAACTTTATTGACAAAGATAATCAATTAACACATTCATCATGAAACATTCAATTATCATCAACTTTGGAAATTTTTCCTGCTTGATTTTTGTTCGGAAAAATTTATTATTATTGGTTGACATAATAAAAGCTCATTTAAGAACATTGAAATTTAAATTAATGAGAAGATTTTGCAAATTTCTGGTTTAAATTCTTATATTTCAAAAATGGGTTGTGGACGATATGAAAGTTTTTAATTGATATCTCTCAAATGGATGAAAAGGAATGTCTCTAAAAGTAGTCATTCATTCATTTACTACTCCTATTATTTTTATATGTTAAATAGTTAAGCTCTCAGCATATCTCATTATCTCTTCTCATCTCATCCATATTACCGCTATTTCATTTCCTTTTACGCTACCCGTAAATAAACGCATCTCCTCAATATCAAACATATTTAGGCATCAGTCAATTTCTTTACTTGCTGACTTCGCTGTTCGTTTGTACGTCAACCCTTCTTTCTTCACGCATCACGTACTAATTTGCCGTCGACGTGATATAAGCCACGTAGTTACTTTTAACATTACATATATTACGTGGTCATTGTTGACGTTATATACTTTAAGTAATTGACTGTTAACATTATATACATTACGTAGTCATTGTTAACTATAGTCGCTTATGTATATCACGTAGTTATTACTAATGTTATATACATCACATAATACATTACGTAATCACTGTTCACATACCATACTTTATTTATAATAAAACTTGCATTTTAATCTTTGAAGACTAAAAATATTCCATCTATTTGTTATTATTTGTTATTTATTGACGTAAGTAATTTACCTTCTTGAAAGTTTCGTAACATGAAATTTAAATTTTCTTTTTTCCTTTTGTCTGATTCATGCAATTAATAGTAATATTATAATAATATAATTTCAGAAATACT